TGGAGAGAAAATGTTTTGAGAAATGATGTACAAATGCACTTTACACAATTGATGTGTGTATGGATTGGGATAACAGTTGAATGAGCCCCTAATAAAATGTTTAAAAAAAAAATAAAGTATTTGATATGTAGTCATAAAAAAAAAAGAAAGAAAGAAAGTACTGCTTCAAAACTGTGGAAATAAATAGGTAAGAATGTCAAAATGCTGATTTCTTCTTTCTTGACATATCCTCCATCCAGGCTGTGTGTCTACCTCTCTAGCCTTTTCCTGAAGAATCCTAAGATCTCGGATGTCACCACGTTCGAACAGCAACGCCGGTGTCCCTGAGGGTCTCAAACCATGTCCCTGTGAACTGTTGTTTAGGTTTGAGGAGCAGAAAGAAGTCTGAAGGGCAAGGTCAGGGCTGTATGGTACGTGGGTAGGTTTCACAATCAAATTCTTATAGGACAACTCTTACTGCTTTCCAAGAAGGAGCAGGACAACGGAACATGGAAAATTTCCTTGGTAGAACGCTCCTGGCTGTTTTCTCACAACGGAAGCTTCCAATTTTCCTAAACGCTTGCTCATCAAAAGCCCCTGCGATCGTCCTGTGTTCTTTGAGAAACGCTATGAGCGCTGCTCCTTTCAAATCCCAAGGAAGAATCACGCTAGCCGGAGCAATGTCTCTGCCTTGGATTTCCCTGCCCATGAGATTGTCACAGAAGCCACTCTTGACTGGCCCTTATATTTGAAGGCACTCTAACAAGACAAGCGTGTCTTGTTATTTGAGGACACTTGTCTGCAGTCATCTACTGATCAGAGAGAAACCCGAGTAAGGACGTTTTGTTTAGAATACGAGGGCAACACGTTTTGTTCAGAACACGTCCAAGCATATCTGACCTGGAGCCCTGGTAGCCATAGTTTCCAGGAGCTCTATTACGTCATCATGTTCCTGGTCTTCTTTAATCACGGTCCAGCTCCCACGTACGTACAAGGTGACTGAGAAGCCATGAGCTCAGTCCTCAAGGTGACCACTGAGCTTTCGAACACTTAAGAGATCTTTTGTACCAAATCTGTCCAAGGCAGCATGTCATTTGACTTCTTGACCACTGCTTCCGTGGGTGTGGATTACAGATCCAAATAAATTACATCTTGGACAAGTATGGTGTTTTCTCTGTTTGTCACGATGTTGTGCTATGGGTTATGGGTACAGTGGTTGGATGTTTGTTTTCCTCATGCTAAGGATGTAAATCACACTGAGGGTTGTACTATTTGATCATCCACGGTAAGCGGCGATCTGTCACTCTTGCTGTTTTCCTGGGTAAATGAATCTGAGTGGATAGGGCCCAGAGGAACCTTGGTTGCAACATGCTTTATGGCAGCCAAGTCCTGTTCTGTGGGGTTACAACTGTCTGGCAATGTGTGCTCTGCATGTGACCTGATGTTCCGTAATGTTACCGACTACCTGGGGGGCGGGGGAGGCAGAGGCTGAAAAGGAGGCCAGCTGGCTGACCAGGCCAGCACTTCTCCGGCCTAACACGCTTTGATGACCGTCCTTTCCTGCAGTGCCCCTGCTCCAAGCTGCACCCCCTGCCCCTAGACCCCTTTTAGTTCCTTCCTGAAAGGAGGCCTTGGAACCTGAAGAACCCGCCCCCTTCATGTATCTGAGGCTGACTCATCCCTCCCACCCTGGCTTCCGCTTCAGACAGGGAGGGTCCAGCCTCCTGCCTCCCCTCGCAGACCTCTCGGGTTACTGCTCACTGCCATAAACCATCCTGCTCTCAAAGCCCTGGGAGGGGGTGCTGATGAGGTCAAGGTGGGGGTGAGGTGGGGAATTGTGCCTCTTTCACAGGTGATAAATATAAAACCGCCTGGCCCTAGGAGGTGAAATGACTTGCCCTGCATTTTGGCTGGCAAGGCAGGATGTTGGGACAAGCAGGTCAACACTTTTCCTGTAGCTGTGGGTCCTCCTAAAAGGCATTTCATCAAGATTGAACTCGTAGGCACAAATTTGATGGGAGAGGCTACGACAGACTGCGGTCCAAATGAAACCAGTTAAAACCTTATCAGCCTTGACTTCTCATTAGAACTTTATGGTGCCCTGGGTTAATTATGCAAATGTGTTGCCGTCTGATTTGTCTGGGTTGTAAAAAAATATACCTGTGAAGCAGAAGAGTTCAATGGATGAGGCTTGGGGGTAACAGGGGCTGGCGCAGAGAGAGTGTTCTAAAAAAGTGACCTTCGGGGCACAGGGCTCTGCTCCTTGCAGAACATAAAATGCGGTGCTTGGAACTGCCAACACGCCTGGTTCTGGAAGAGCTGGTCTACGGAAGCAGGCGGCAGAGCACACACCACTGACGTCAGTCACAACACAACTCCCGACGGGAGGCACTCTCCAAGCTGCTCGGTGACACTGCCCAGGGGAAGGAGTGGACCACAGGGTTGGACTGAAGGGGACACTTGCTTTGAAAGATAAGCAGCCAGTCCCTCTTCTCTGCTTAATAACCTGCTTTGCTGAAACTCAGTTCTTTCTACACTTAATTTGCTCAGGAGCCGAAAGTGCCCAGGGCACAACCCCCTCCTCAGGGCTAGCCTCCCCACCCTCCAGTCTAGGGGTCATTAAGGCAAAGTCCACCAGTAGTGCCTGGAGTCCACTCACTCAGGCCTGGGGCTCTGGTGCCTTCCTGTAGAGTGACTAATCGAATCCCCTCTCCAGGAAGGGACTGCTAACCGCCCCAGCCCCCATGGCAGTGAGGGATTGCTGGTCAGATGGCTGATGGGGGAGGCCCCAGGGGTCACTGGCTCGTTAGTCCATTGGGCCCAAGGCTCTGTCAGCTAATCCTGCCCGTGAGGAGCAGCCCTGGGCTGGTCAGGGGAGAATGCCGACTCACCTCAGGGTGGCTCTGCTTCCCTGAGTACTAGCGAGGTTTGTACCTTGAAAAGACAAGCCAGAAATCCGTTCATGCTAAAATACCCCCCTCTTGGTTTCTCTGTCTGATACAAAACCCGCGTCTCCTTTTTTTAAAAAAACAAAACCAAATGTCCGATCATCTGGCTTCTCATTAAAAATGATGCCCAACTTTCATAAGATCTAAACGTTGCATTCTAGGAAGAAATGGGATTTCTTTCCAGATATTTCCAATGTTGAGCCCTCTATTCCAGCGGTTCTCAACCTGTGGGTCGCGACCCCTTTGTGGGTTGAAGGACCCTTTCACGGGGGTCGCCCGATTCATAACAGTAGCAAAATGACAGTGATGAAATAGCAATGAGAATAATTTCCACCAAACAAGGAACTGTGTTAAAGGGTCTCGGCATCAGGAGGGTTGAGAACCACTGCTCTATAGCAATACGAGGAGCCGGAGTGGGGCAGGAAGTAGCTCAACGCTCTGGGACTAACTGGCAGGCCTGGATTTGAACTTGGAATCTACAGCTCCTTGGGAGAATGAGGAGGCAGTCAGCTTCAGTACAGGTCTGCATAGTTCTGCCCACCCTCAGCGGTCACTGTGAGTCAGGATGGGCAGTGGTCAGCAGAGACAGGCAGGTGCAAAGGCAGGTGCACTGCCCGGAGAAGGAAGCTTGATTTAAAAGCAATGGTTCGTTAGGAGGAGTCGGAGAAGTAGGGAGAAAGCGGAGAACTATTAACAGAGGGACTGTGGCTTACCTTGAGAAGTTGAGGAAATGAACATGCCGGGTGAATAGATAGGGCTGCTCCGCAGTACTTATATTTTTAATCAGTTCCATCTATTAAAAAAAGACAAAAGCCACAGAATTAGCATAGATTGGTTCTCATGTCTATGCTCCATTTTGCTAATGGTTTACTACAGAACTCTCTTTATCCCCACCTAGGATCACTTCTGTCAGAGCCACCCAGCTGGGCTCCAGGCACCATTGGCGACATCACCTCAGCTTTCCTGTCACTAGATATGAAGGTGTAGTGGCAGTGCCATGGTTGGGCACTCGGCTGCCAACCTAAAGGTCCCAGGTGGGGTGGGAGTCAAATAATTTAACACTGCCCTAAGGACCGTTTACAGCATCAAAACACAACATACCAAAAAGTACTTTTTTCATTCACACAGTTGATACTTAAATCGAAACAGTAAAAGAATACAGAAAACTAGATTATGCTGTAACAAAGTCTTAAAATATTAATAAAAATATTAAATGACACCTGACCCACTAAACCATAAAACTGTCAGTTAAGATAGTTCCATATTGCTTCTTGAATTGGTGTGTTCCCTTGCAATATTCTTTGCTTTTGGCACAAGCATAGTTCTGTCTAATATTTTATACCTATGGATGGAATGAACATTCCTATGGGCACCGGGAATACGCTGCTCACAGATGAACATTGAGAGGGAGTGGGCGGCTCTGGAGGAAAACGGCTGGATGATCTGCCCCCATAAATGACCACAGCCTAGCAAAGGTGACAGGGCAGTGCCTTTCTTCCTGTAGGGTCCCTATGGGTGGCAAGTGATGCGACGGGACACATGAAATCCAAATCTATAGGCCTAGATCTAGTGAGAGACTGCGATCCTGGAGACAAAGTGACAGGCAGTCAGTAACTCCAACTGTGGAAATAAGTGTACTACCCTTAATCCTCTCGTTGGCAGTGCAATCAAGAGAGGAGGTTAATCATGCTCATCTATTTCTTTCATGATACGATGGGAACTTACACAGGCGCTCAAGACAACTTCTCAAGATTGAAAAGAAGGACCAGAAGGAGACCACCCCTCACGATTTCTCTCCTCGATTAGAAAAGCGTCCAGAGAAAGCCTACCACGGGAACCTCACAGACCCCCAAACCTCTGAGTCTGGTGGGTGGCCACCTGAATTAGTTCTTTGCAGCTATCAGCAAGTCCAGCAGCAGTTTGTGTATTTGTGTAAGCTAACGTGCGGGACACCCCATACAGAACACGTCTGGTCAAAATCCATTAGGAATTCCAAGCATTCTTCTGACTCCCTGCACCCCACTTTCCCTGATCCTCTCATCGGCCTGCCAAGACCCACACCCTCGGGAGCTTTCTCAAAGCATGTTGAAGCCAGCTATTTCTTAGGAGGGTCAGAAGCATTATCTCTTGCTTTTCGGGATAGTTCAAGCTGAAAACTGGACATGAAGAATCACTCGCAGGTTAACAGAGTAACGACCCCAAGAGCCTGGACAGTGGTGGACTCAGAGACCAGGGCTCCAGGATCACTGCTGAAGGGATGAAGGCCAACCACGACATGCTTCAGAGCTTGCTACACTGAGACCTCATTGTCTAGATTCTGCAGACACGCGTGCGTGCCATGATGGAACACGGGACACTGACTTTTAAAAGTGAATTACTTGTTTTGCTTTGTCAGAGGTGGGCAGAGGTAAATTATGGTCAGCCTGTTCCCTGAAGCCCAAGCTGCAGCATGAAAAGAAATGGGATCCCCGCTCCATGTCCACTGTGTATCCTCTAATAGAGCCTGGACACCTTCCCCCACAAGCCCTGCATGCGCTTTCCGTAGTCAAATGTCCTCCTTGGTCTCCTGGCTGGTTTGGACTTTGGGCGGATCTACCATTAGAAGTAGGAGCCCTGGCGGCTTAGTGGTAACAAGTTGGGCTGCTAACTGCAAGGTGAGCAGTTCAAAAACCAACAGCCACACTGAAAGGGAAAGGTGAAGCTTTCTACTCCTGCAAAGAGTTACAATAAACCCACAGGGGCAGTTCTACCCTGCAAGGTCGCTATGAGTCGGCTTTGACTCGATGGTAGAGAGCGTGGTTTTGGTAAGGAGTTTAACCGTTACCCCCACCTCAGCTGATACACACACCTGACTCTCTCTACAGGTCTAATGCAGTATTTAGTAGTCACTGTTTGTTGCCATTGAGCCAGCCGCGTGCAAATGGCAAGTCCATGCACAACTGGCAGAAAGGCTAAGGGTCAGCGTAGACTTGATGGCAGAGAACGAGAGAGACCTGCAGAATGGATAAAAGGTCCCAAGGTGGGATAAATGATTTGCTTTCAAATACTAAGCTAAAGGTTGTTCAAACCTACCAGGTGGTGTCACGGAAGAAAGGCCTGGTGACCTGCGTCTGCAAAGACGACAAGCAAGAAATCCTATGGGGCAGGTCTGCTCTGCCACACACGGGCCGTGAATCACTGCGGTGCGTTTGGGGCTGCTACGTGAAGAATGGCCGGGTCTCCATCAGCCTTCCGCCCGCAGAGACCGTTATCATCTGATGAGGCCGGATCCAACTGGGTACTCGGTCGGTTGACCTCCCTATAGACCCGACACGACACATATTTCTTCCCTGGCTTTTTGACTGTTGAGTGGAGTCTTTTCTTTCTTACTCGTTGTCTGTATGTTTGTCTTTATATTGTTATTCTTTTATCCTTGCCACCTTGGTTCAATTCTGTTTTGTGGTGTTCTGTTGGGCTCCCCAGTTTGTGAAGCGCAGGGAGAGTGGGTGCAGAGTGATGGTAATGGGTGCGAGGGGTTAATAGGAGATGGGGGGGGTGATTTCAGGAGTAAACAAGGAAGGCAGGAGGGGCAGGGAGCACTAGCATCGGCTTGTGATTGCGCTGCACAACTCATTGTAAAGGCGATTTAACCACGGGGCGGGGTGTTCTAGAACTGATGTGGTGATGATTGTACAGTTCTCCTTGAGATGACGGAAGGATTGAATTGTAGGATATGTACGCGACGTGCCAATAAAACTGCGGCAGGCGGGGCAGAAGGACCGGTGTGCCTGGGTAACCACAGGAAACTGATCTCTGAGCATGTCTGCTTAGAGAAACCCACGGCCATCGAGTCTATGCCCACACTCAGAGCTCCAGAAAAGGACGGCGTAAGACTGCCCTGTGCGTCTCAGAGACAGCCACGCGGCTGGAGCAGAGAGCCCCAGCAATCTCCCAAGGAGCGTCTTGGTGGTTTTGAACTGCTGACCTTGAGGTTCACAGCCCAACACGTAAGCCACTATGCCACTGCTTAGACAGGTGACTGTTGTGCGTGTGGTTAGTGGACTTCTCATGTGACTCTCTAGATGATCACTGTTCCAATATTCCTCTGCACACAGGATACAAGAAAGTCCCGTCCCCCCCCCAAAAGGCTACACAAGAAAACCAGAAAAACAGGTCAGAATAAAAACCATTCCTTGGATTTTTTTCAGCATGATCCGAGCAGCACACGTTCCTTAAACACATGTCACTGTGTTACACTTCATGGAGGAACAGTAGTGTGAGACTTGAGAACAGTGTCATAACAGTCATAAAGCTGTCTATTTTACAGGAAAAATGCATTAACGGTGACACCGCCTAACTCTTTAAATATAGACTGAAGTAGTGGGCGTGCATGTTTATTACATCAGCTCAGTGGAGCCCTTAACTGCATTTCAGCTCTGGGATGCGCTTTGTCACTGCACGCTAAACACACGGTCACGCCTGAGACATCATGGGCACACGTTGAAGACATTCCGTGTGAGGTGCCACGGGCTCTCCACAAACACTCAAATGCTGGCCAGGCTGTCTAGCCACTGCTAGTGACGAGTGACGGTGTCCTTGTCTGCCACCGGCCTTTCCTCCACCTGGGTGGTACACCGGGCAGCATTGCTGCAGCTGGAGTGACCACAGGAACCACGTCTCCTCCTCTTCCCTGGCTCCTGCACGACCGCTTCTGGCTTCCTTCTGACCTACTGCATGCATTCGTTCATTCATTCATTCAGCACTCAGTGAGCAGTAACGAAGCCGTGGAGCTAAAAATATGAAGCCAGGTGGGTGGGGATTCACACAGAGAAATGCTCCCTCCTTCCCTCTCATCAAATGGATTCTGACTCATAGTGATCCTGTAGGAGAGGGTAGAACTTCCCCTGAGGGTTTTTGAGGCCACAACTCCTTACAGGAGTAGAAAGCCTCATCTTTCTGCCGAGGAGCCGGATTGGGGGGGGGGGGGTTTGAACTGCTGACCTTGGGGTTAGCAGCCCAACACATAACCACTATGCCTCCAGGGCTCCTATGTAAAGAAAAGATATCAAAATGTGTCTTGTAGAGTTTGTCCCATTGATGCTCCCCAATCATCACAACCAGAACCATACCCTTGATCCTTCCTGACCTTGACTCCGTTATCTAGCCTAACCCATCTCTGGGTCCTGTCCTCCTGCCAGAACTCTGTGTTCTTCCGTTTGGGCCCTCTCTTCCAGGAGTCTGGCTAACTGATGGGGGCGAGCCCAGTGAAACCACTCCTGGTCCCTTCCTCACACCATCGCTTGGCCATCTCCAAGTCAAGGCTCAAGTTTCCTCGACTGCAATGTCTTTCCTCTTCTCTCTGCCAGTCCAAATCTCAATCACACTACAAGTAACCTTGCTGGATCTCCTTGTCATTCCACGCGGAACTGAGTTCCAACCCTGTATCGGCCCCAGCACTGCTGTGGCTGGGGCTGCAGACTTGGAAGAGCTGCTGGTGGCCTCTGAGAAGCTCAGAGCCCCAGGGGAAGGGGGGCTTGTAGGTGAGCATGATCTTATGATGACCACCAGCAGGTAGAAAGTGCACCAGCAAGGTGTTCCTTCTTGTCCACAGACTAAAGGCAATGGCTTCCCCAGGGAAGTGTTCCAAGTGACTTTGAAGGACCCATAGGGGTTAGGCAGCAGACGAAGGGATTTTCAGCACTGAAGACAAGAGTGGACAGCAGATACAAAGGACAAGACATGAGATGACATGCAGATTGAAAGGATGGCATCGGCCCTCTGTTTCAGTAGAAGGGTGTGTGTGGTGGGGTGGTG